TTTCCCCCCAAAAAAGCAGAAAAGAGCAAAATAAACGAGGTTTTTGCAGTTGATTTCCTGCACACGGGAAGAAAAATGAAATGGCTTTGGAAAATCAGCAGAATATGCGGAAAGTAATTAGCAAAAGTTTGAGCACACAAACTTAACTATTAATTAAACACCCTCTTTTTAATTGACTTGGATTTGCATACAATTCAGGCTAAGAGCAATTACAGTACAATCTCTAAAAAGGTGTTTTTCTTTGTAAAGAAGAAGCCTCTGTTTCTGAAAATGCAATGCATTCATTTAGGCCAATCCAGAACTTATATATTTACTGCTATATTTTGGACAAGATGGTGTCATTGACAGAAGAGGCAGAAAGGAAAGACGCCACAAATTTTCTCTGTGGGTCTGTCACTCCAGTTTAACTGAGCTCCAGGAGTGATGGACTTTTCAATCACTCTTAACATAAAGACACTCAAATGTCAATGTGGCATTGATCTCTCTGGCCCTCAGTCTTGCCTCACAGCATGGACTGACTGTCCTCCATTAGAAACCCAGACTGGCAGCCTGGCCGGCCCACACAACTCATAATACGGGCCTAATTGAATTGGTAGCTTCCTCCTTTGAAAAGCAAAAAAAGAGAAGCATCAAAACTGAAAATGCAGAATTGACTCTCTTCAAGACACTTTTCCTCACACCCACGCCATCAGAGCAAACTTTTGCAACGGTCACGGTTTGCCAAACAGCCATAAAAAGAGAATGGAAATATTCCCTCAGTAGCCATTGAAATGCACAGCTACCAGCTGTTGTCCTGTCCACCGTGTGGACATGGCTGGCTGTCAGCAGGCTTAGCCAACACTGCGCCTTGCATATGAAACAGGACATGGGCCTATATCCCCTTGGGGAGTTCACTTCCTCTGAGCCCCCACCACCACTGCCCCACCTCCCTCCTGAAACAAGCGGCCCCTTCAGCTGGAGGCCAGACATCCCAAGCAGCAGTGGGGGCTTCTCAGGGGTGGGGGTGCTTTGGAAATGAAAAAGGGAAGTTTCAGCTCCTGCACATTAGAGAATTGCAGCCAAATATTTAGGTCCAACACTTTGGGAGTAGAGCTGCATAGACTGATAAACTGATGCATCACCAACTATGTTGATAATTGTTTAATCAGTTTGAGTCATTTGTTAAGGAAATTCTAGCTTCCTAAATGGGAATATTTTCTGCTTTCTGTAGTCTTCTATAGCAGTAGACTAAATATATTTGCTTGTGGACAAAACTAGACATTTGAGAACATCACATTGGGCTGTGGGAAACACTGATCCACACTTCTTTATATTTACTGGAGCCAACAACTAATGGGTAAAATAATATGCACATTAATCGATAATGGTTAGTTGCAGCCCTATTTCAAACCAGCCGGCAAATGACAAAAGTTTGGTGTAATTTTGACCATTTCCAGTGCTTAGTAGTTCCACATGCTAAAAGTAGTCGGCTTTAGTTTCTGCTCTTTCTGCAATGAGCCACAGGATAAAGCATGGAAACAGCCTGCAGGAATGTGCTGGCTGTCAACACAGTAACACAGCATATGTGGAGCATAAACACAAAATGGCTTCTACCCTGCTTTATTGTTCTGTCTGGGTTCTAGACGTCTGTCTCTAAACAAATCACTTCCCACCACTTCAGAATGAAAATTAATCATTGAATAAGGAGGAAATCTGGACTTCCTTGACTGTTATCAACAGTCATGGTTGACTGTAAGGACATGTTTCATTCAAGCCCGGTAGCACTGTTTGATATATCGGTTGTGTTAAACATCTTCAACTCTCTGAAGGAGTGGCAGGTCTGGAATGTAAGCACAGACCGGCTGCCTGTCTGACTCTAATGAATGAGCATTCATCTGAAAAAATGACTTCATCAAAGAAAAGTGGCTCTTTTTCCAAAACTGGACGAGCTGTTACAAACACAGATTGAGACTGAACAGGATCCCTGCCATTCGGTCTGACGTAAACTCGCCGCTTTTAAACCAAAGTATGAGTCAAGCTTGAGCAGCCAGCGACCCCCCCTTCCTCCACCCTCTGTCTCTTTTTCATATCTCCCTTAAACAGACGGATTGGGTAGAAATCACATCATCTTGAGGGTGAATTAGAAAGTTAGAAACATACTAAATCTGCAGCCGCAATCCTTATCTAAACATCCTGATGCGGAAAGCCACTGATTATGTGTGCCACCCACATGTGTACCAGCCAGAAACCAGAAGACTCACAGCCAAGGGCTGGCAGGACTGTTCCACACCCAGTGTATAAACTCATTTAAACAATTGAATATTTCTCTGCGTTTCAGTGTTTACAATCGGCGGCGGCGCTCACATCACACGAGATAAGAACGAAGAACAAACTTTTACTGCAAATTCACTCGCAGCAAAAAGTGAAACGCTCTTTTCACTCAAACGCTCTGTGATTCAGATACATGTGTGTGTCTCAGAAGGAAGCTCTCAAAAAACCGTCTGCAAGGAGGGAAGTGCGGCAATATCACTTCCTGTGTCTGTCTGCATGTGAGACTGCTGCTAACACTTTTGTAACGCCCTCATTAATATTCCTCTGCTGGCAGCGTGCAGATGATGGCATTTTCTTGTGTCGCTGAAAGGTGGAAGGCAGTGCGACGCAGTCTAGCACTTTGCCTCACATCCTCCCCAAGAACATTTTCAAAGGCCTCGGCTGTGCTGAAATGTGCTGACAAAGGGGAGCTCTGTTGCCATCAGTTTAGCGATATTCCTGAACACCTACCCAGCATGTATTCCCTCATTAGCGTTTCTTGAAACAGGCTACTTGAGGGGGGAAAGGAGGAGTCAAATTAAAAAGCAGGGTAGAGGCTTAAAAGAGCCTCGGGCTTAACACTTGGGTGCCCTGTAGGCACTTATAAAAATAGAAGAGGCCCCTGAAAAGTGGGGGTCCTTGAGGTGTGCCCACTCGAGTCTGAATGAAAGTGTGTGCCAAGAGTGGGTATTCACCATGCATGGCAGGACTTTGGCACTCTCCGGGACTTCGAGGGTCTTCAAGGATTTCTCTTTCTTTGGCAGATTCCTTTGAAAGAAGCCTCAGTGGAGGAGTGGAGGGAAGCTGCTTGGAAACACTTCTGCAGTTGCTTTCTGTGCCTCAACAACAAGTCTGCTGCCCCCACAAGACCACTCTGGTTCCAATCAGACAGGAGCAAAAAGTAGGTAAGAGAGGGAGGGTGTGAGTGCGTGTATGTCTGAGGTGGGTGGCTGGCCCGGGGTAGGTGGATGTTTTGGGGGGTGGTGTTTGCTGAATGCTCCCCTTTGTTGGGATCATATTATGTTTCCACCACAATACTTCTAAACCCTGCTTCATCAACTCCATTCATGTGGAACAGTTCATGCAAATGGCTGCACCAGCCTTTTTTCCCCCTCTAGGGGTGAGTCGGGGGTGGGGTTGCTTTTATCACTCTCTCCAAACTCCTGCCTGCACACCAAAATACAGATCATAATCCCGTCAAGCAATCAAGTTAGCCCGAAAAGCAGCGGTGGGGGCAGCAGTGTGCGAAACCAGGTTGGGAGCCTAGAACTACTTCATTTGGTCGGAAGTCTTGTATCTGATCACGAAAAAGCACAGGAAACGGGCCGAGCCAGAAACCTACGCGGACGCTCCAGTTCTGATTATTCAGATAGTTTACAGCTAAGTGGAAGAAAAAAAAGAGAATCAGAGGATGTGGATACCAACAAGTGAAAGGGCCTTTGACGCTGATATTAGCAGTGATTAAACCCACAGGAAGCGACACATAACAGCCAGACGAACGGTGCATACATTTAATGTGACACATGAGGCTCCGCCAGCACACACACAAACAAGAAAGCAGCCAATCTGGTCCTAATGACTGTATTCTCACTGCTGACTGAGTAGATCCCCTCCCATGGGAACACACACACACACACACACACACACGGAGAAAGCAACCAGAACGTAGACTGAGGAAGAGACAGCTTCAGTCCCACTCAGGAGAGGGTGTCTGAGTGGAAAAGAAATGGCATTTAATCTGAAGAAGGAAGAGGAATTATTTCCTCACTTGCGTCTGAAGTTGTGTGTGATCCACACACTCCCCCCTAGCTGCTGTTTACCATTTCCCATTGAGCCATTTGTTGGTAAATGAGATTGTATTTACAGTGCAGGCCAATAAAGAGAGGTGGTTCACAAATGATGGCTTTATTGCCACCAGAGGCGTTTTGTTGTCACTGCTGGGTGAGCTCCAATTAGCAACAACATGTCAACGGTGACCCAGTACTGAGTGGTTCCTAATACAGGAGGGGGGCTGCCGCTGGGTGCCCCGTACACAGAAAGAGTGTACTTTCTGTGCACTCTGTGGGGAAACTCTCTAATCTGGGACTCCCAGGACCGCTGGCTGAGAATCACCACTATGGCTAAAATGATGTTCATTATTGATGAACCTGTCAATCATTTTCTTGACTAATC